TCCAAATATATAATCATCTCCTAGGTGTAAAACTAACATATTAACACACTTCAATTTTAATTTACAGTTATTTCAGAATATATTTAATTGCATTGTTTAAACTGATGCTGTCATGGATTTAACTGGCAAAGTCTCCATAAATACTTTATTATAAAAAAAATCAGAAAATATCTGTTGGTCGTCCAGTATGATACGAAGGGCAGGCTTAAACGTTTTGTAAGCAAGAATCCAATGACTGACTGGCTTGAATGTGCACATAAAATAGTGAGGGAACTCCACATGATTTCTTCTTCCCAATTATTTTTGTGCTCCTGCCAACACTGAGCCAATATCTCTGCCAACATTATTTATTAATTACAAAGTAAATCTGAAACCCTAGTCAGCAAGTTTTACTTGACAGATCTGGAGTGAGAGTTTACAAACGTTATTCTGGTTAGAAAAATATTAAGCTTCATATGATTAATTAGAGATCAGTCTTGCCTCCCATCAACACAATATAGCAAGGTGTCAATACTCATTTGTAACTACAACTAACTGGCTCATAAGCAATGTTTGCTTCCAAGACAAATGTAACTAATGAACTCTCATTATTTCTAGGTATACATTCTGTAATCTATAATATTGCCAACAGCAAAATAGTCTAAAACTTACTCCAAATGGGCTCAAATTTGGCAGGAATGCCTTACTGGTTATTGTTAGCTGCTGTCAAGAAATCCCGATTCATGATGATTGCACGTTAAGAGCAGCACTGCTCCATCGCATTTCCTCATTTAACAGCAGATTGCCAGACCTTTCTTCTGCAGAGCAGCGAGGGTGGACTGAACTGCTGATACTTTGTGTAGCAGCTGAGCATAAGCCAGCTCGTTCATTATTCAGTCTCCTTATTTATCATGGTGAGCCAGGAGAACAGAAATGCCCAGAGAAGTAAATTTAACGAATTGTGCTTGTTTCAGAACAGAATGATGACTTCTTCCAAAGCTGTGAGAGTGACTGTCTCAGAATCAGGACTCAGTCTTATTAGCAGTGGTCACCATTGTGCTTCCACAGTACAGCACCTACCTCAGTCTATCACAATTCAGTGTGCAGAGAAAACAGGATCAGAAACAATCAGACTTTTTAAAAAAACTATTTTCCATCTGAAAACACATTTCTAAATGATACCAAGTTTCTGAAAGATGTCCCCTCACATTAAAAGGAAATCAATGAAGGTTTATATATCTGCTTCTGCTCATGTCTATCTATTCTGGGAAGAGTCTATTAATGACAAATAATGCCAGTTGGAAAACCTGGGGTCAAGGGACAGAACAGTGACACTTACAAGGGCAGGAAACTTGGTTTCATAAGATGAAAATAAAGCACCAAGAGTTGAAAAGTAAAGAGTAAATTAAGAAATCCAGTGATCTGGCAAAAAAAAAAAAACACCGATGGGGAGTTGGGAGTTGTAACACTTGGTGCTCACATTGTATAAGGCATAGAACATGGAAAAGGAAAAATTAGAATAACTTCTAGCTTGATATTTTAGTCCTCTGATAGAGGTCTTATTCAACAACCCCCTCTTACCCCATTATATAGCTAATGCAGCATGATTGTGAATGAAACAATAATTTCTTTCCTAAAATCAAAATACTGCCTTGACCACAGCTAAAAAAAATGGTTTATAAATAAGGTTATTTGAAAATATTATTTAAAACTTGAGCAGTCCCTGGGTTATAAACATCTGACTTACAATTCTGAAGACTTACTTGGGGATATCAGCTGGAGATCTTGTCAACATAGAGATTTTAATTCAGTATGGACTGCCAAGAAAACAAACAGATCCATCCTAGAGAGGGTTAAACCACGCTACTCCTTGGAGGCAAGGATTCTGGGGCTTCATCTGACATACTTTGGACATGTTGTAAGGAGAGACAGGTCCTTGGAGAGGGACATCATGCTTGGTAGGGTAGAGGGACAACGCAGGAGGGGAAGACCCTCTATCAGGTTTGACTCAGTGACTGGGGTAATCGGGATGGGTGTGTCAGAGGCAATGTGATTGGCACAGGATAGAGCAGGGTTTAGGGCTGTTGTACACAGGGTCGCTATGAGTTGCAAACGACTTGACGGCACATAACAACAACAACAACAACATATCTGGACTGGATAGGTAAATTTGCAGCAGAGGGCCAAACCAGAATGAAACTTTTGAAGCCCTGCAATTCCAATTCACAACAAATTCTTTATAACCACCTTGTTGCATGTGCAACATGATATAATTACAGGCTTTGGGCCTATTCTTGTACGAAAGTCTAAATAAGAAAACAAATTCGACTTAATGACTTACTTAGGAACTGACCTCATTTGTAACTTGGGGAATGCCTGCTTATTTCACTGAAGAACCAAGAAAGTTTTATGTTATGTTTTTGTCCCTCAGTACATAATTAAGAACGCTATGTTTTCTGTCCAACTCAGCTACTGGTTTTCACAGGGCAACAAAGATAAGGCATCTTTGAGAATTCAGCTGAGAAATGTTGCACATACTGGTGGATGATGGTCTAAACATTTTTTTCATCAGATGCTATGTGGCCCCCAGTCAGGTCTACTAAGCTAACATCCTTCTCTGTGGGTTTCCATTCCAAAAAGTTAAATCATCAATTTTCAAGTCTGACAGGTCCAGTAAAGTATGAGTTCAAGTACAAAGTTTGTAGTCCTTGCTGCAAACACAAAGCACAGGAAACCACATGTATCTCTTATTTCAAGCAGAGCATAATAATTAAGATCTACAGAAGTTTTCAGTGTTTCTGCATTTTACAAGGAAATTCTTTTTGACCCTAAAGTGGAATTTAGATTGTTTACTGCATAATTTTAAAGTTACAGGCTTAGTATAAGCTTGTATGAAAAGCCAAATATACCTAGATGGGATAAAGACACAAAATCAGGGGATCTCAAATGGATGTGCATTCTTTTCCTTTATTTTACTAGACCTTCATAAATATGCAGATGATTGTGGATATGTGTTTTAGTCTTATTTACTTTCTATATTTAAAGAGTATTTTTATTTAAAAAGCTTAGATACTCTGGGAATTTTGGGAAAATTCAAATTATCACTTTAAAAGGATTTAAAATACAAGTTACATAAAGCATAATTTCTATTTAATTAAATAAACACTTACTGGGTTTTTAAGAAACTATCATTCTCCACTAGTCTTTTTATTAGTCTTATTATCAACATTTGTTAAGTAAATTAGGTTTTTTTAAATCTTGGGTTTACCCAGTGAGACATTTGTTAGATAAAACAGTTTCCTATTCTTCACATGCATTTTAAATCATCTGTTGGTCTATCCAGGTAGGATTTAACTGGTCTATGGTTACATGACACTGTCTATCTGAGGCATTAAAGAGCCATACAAATTCTTGGTACAAAAGATTGCTCCTGTTGAAAATGCACTCTTAATGCACATACAGATAATTTCAAAACCACAAGTAGGAAAAATGAGTATCCACAGGTTCCTCTCTAGCACATCAGTTAAGCTATTCTGTTGTTTCTAGTTTGGAAATTTTTGTGCCAAGCCTGCCTACATAGATTTAATGTCCTTTTTTATTCCAGTGTTTCAAAAACATACACACGGTTAAAAATTTTGAATTTGTTACCCGTTGAGCTAATATCATCTCCTAACTCACGGTATTTATTCTGTATTATTACTAGAAATTACTTGTTGTGTTGCTGGTGTCCATGAAGAATCTCTAACTGAAACGAAAAATCAAAGATTCTCTCTGGAGAAATGGTGTTAATTTACATGTGAAAGGTGGGTATTAAAATTAATCTGTAGCCCTCTAAAATTTTACTCTCAAGAGATTAACTGGTATGGAAGCCGGTAACTAAGAGACCTAGCAAACATGGTGTACAAAGCGGAAGGTAGTTATCAAAAAGAACAGAAGGGAATACTGTTTATATTTTGTAGACAATTGTATAAATAAAAAAGTGGCTGCTGGGAGACATAAACCTGAAACTCCACACCCTATCTTCACTACTGTTTTGTTTTCAATTATTATACAGTAAACTAGTTTGACACTAATATTTGTATTCAGAATAAACTATTTCCTAAAGAATTTATGACAATGATCACAATATATATTTTGTTCTGATATTACAAATAATCAAGACATTAGATTTTTTTCTAAGATTCAAAACATATGGAAAAATGTTATACTTTTAAATTCTAACATCTGGGTATATTATAAAGTATAACTGTAGCAATAACATTAAGACTTATTTGTAAAATGAACCACTTTTAAAACACTTGGGAACACATGCTTATTCCACTCCTTGGGAATTACTAGAAGTTTCTGAAATCTGATGAGAAATAATTTCTGTATAAAGAGAGCAGCAAATTCCAGAAACTAGGTATTAAGATTAAATAATTTTAAAAAATTCTGTTCTCCAGCACTGGCTTGATACAAAATGGCATTTTAAAAGCATTTTTAAATGCAAATATTGGGTTTTTCATCATTCATTTAGGACATGTCAAATTAAAAACTCACTGCCATCAAATTGGTTCTGACTCACAGCAGCCCTCCAGCAGGCTTCCAAGGCTGTAATTTGGGAAATGGGAGAAGAATGCTCACTGTTCTCCCATGGAGACACTGGTGGATTCACACTGCCAGAGACATACCACCTTTGGGTTAGCAGTGCATCTCATTACCGACCACGCCACCAGAGCTTCCTCTAAGACATGTACTCTGTCATAATTAACAGAGGATGGTTCTGGATTGTCTTCTATGAGGTATCAGTAGAATCACATCTCATTCTGTAAACAGTGTTTTGGAAACATCTTCATCTAAAAACCATGGTGAAATCACTGAGCAGAGAGAAGAAGCACTGTCAGGCTGGAGTGACTGTTTTCAAAGACCAGTGTTTGATATGTAGACAGCTGTCCAGGATTCTATTTTCTCATTTAGGTTTGCATTTATTGCTCTCAACTTTGCAGGCTCTGAAAAGGCTGTACTCCCCAAAGTATGTGACATTAGGAAATGAAACTCTGACAATTTGTGCAAGTTCTGATCACTTCATGTCTGTAACTCTGAAGTTCAACAGTACATTTATACATGCCAAACGTGGTCAATAATAAATGTTTTGCTTTGGACTGTACTTCTTCCCATTTAGAAGAACTTCCAGGAACTGCAATATCAAGAAAGTAGTATTACTACTCATTGTACATAGTTAAACATCAGGAATAAGTATATAGGGGAAAACTCCCCTTAATATACAGGAAATATATTAATCATATGAGCTTGATTTCTACACTCTCTCTATAATACTATTAATAAAACAGAACAGGTATTTAAAAATTTTTAATAACAGATTCTCATTATTCCATATCTCCTATTCCTCTCTAAATACTAGTACTAGAGATCTATTACAAGATTTTCATTCAAAGACCTTTCGTACTTTCTTAGAAACCACATGCATGAATTATATTGATAAAAACTGAAAAGCATCAATTTCTGAAATTACAGAAATAAAAATGTCTAGCTTTTTTTTGGTATAGAATAAAAAGAACTATTTAATATATTTAATCTGAAGGAAAACCCCTACTTCTTTTTTTTAATTAATTTTAATGAAAGTTTACAGAGACTTAGGGTTTTCAGTCATTCATTGTTGCACTTTTCTCCCTACCCACCTTCTCTCCCTCCCATTCACTCTTCTCCTTGAAAAGAAAGAAAAACTCTTTCATTGTTATGCAATCCCTCCCCTTCCCCCCTACTTTTTAAAAAATTCATTTTAATGAAAGTTTACAGAGACTTAGGGTTTCTAGTCATTCATTGTTGCACTTTTCTCTCTACCAACCCTCTCCCCTCAATTCACTCTTCTCCTTGAAAAGAAAGAAAAACCTTACTTCTTAATGTCTCATCTTAGAGAGTGAGAATGGTATAGTTCAGTTATCAATATTGACCTGCAATTTCCATTTGGAAGATCCTTGTATCTCCCTTTAAAATTTATATTGCTATGTCTTCCTACTTCATCTTAAGCACAGATGTTTTGTTCCAGACATAGACATTCACCAATCTGAGTCCCATATTTATCATCAGCAACATACTTAGCTGTATATGAACTATGGCAGTAGATTTTCCTGATGTGAGAGACCAGATATTTAAATCTTCCACTGAATAAACATCTTCTATTTTCATCAAGGCTTCTTTGATACTGTCTACATTCAAATGGCTTGGTACACCTATATAAAATTTATAAGGATAGAACATTTATAAGTAAAGTTTCTCTTATAAACAACTTTTAACGAAACATAACTGCATTAAAAATGAAAGTGTTTCATTGTTGCCTCAGGTCTAATTGTTAGCACTATTGATAGTACTCCCTACCCCCAGAATCCAAATGGTCTTGCCAGATTGAGTTCAAATGAACCCTTTATAGCAATACTTTAATATAAATCATATACACATATTTTTCAACAAAAACACAGGATATATACAGAAGAAAAACTGCTTTAGAAATTTTATTCTCACAGAAAGAGATTCTAATTAAATGATAATATTTCATTTTAACATGTTAGCTATGGTGGAGGAAAACATTTAAAAATTCATTATTTAATAATGATGAATCTCTTGAGAACTTATATTTACATGTTTACACATAGTACTCTTAAATGATGGTAACAAAATGACAAGTTAAATGTGAATGAAATAATCAATAAATTACTAAACATAATTGTGTTAAGAATCAAGAGATTCATTACTGCTATAGGTCTGCTTACTAGTGTTATGACCACAGTAATAAGATATATTATCCCTCTGAACCTCAATTTTCTTGTTTAAAATTGAAGAAAATTATGTGTTACCTGCTGTGCTTAGCTATTATAAAGACAAAATGGTATGATGGGAAAGTGTATAGATTCTTGCATGTTAAATAAAGGTAAGGTAGTATTCTGACAGCCCAATAATATAAGTGAAAAGAAAGAAAAAGACAAGGCCCCTACCCTAGAATGCTCACCTCCCCAAATATGATTTATAGAAATAATCAGCCCATGATGAGGATATTAGTGAAACCTTACCTTCCAATATTATAACAATTGTGTCCCATATAATGCGAAATGTTGTAAAAGCGACAAGTAATGAAAATACATATGTACAGATGGGATCAGCAATCTTGTATTCTGGCTGAAAGGTAATAAATAAAAACTGTATAATCAAATATATCAAAGTAGTTGCTGTTGAGCCAATTATAACACATGGTGACATCATGTATGTCAAAATACAACTGTGTACGATAGGAACTTCATGTCTGTGAACTTTAAGAAGGCAATTACCACATCTTCTAAAGATGCCCTGGGTGGATTCAAAATACCAACCATTTGGTTAGTTGTCTAGGGCTTAGCCATTTTCACTACCCAGGGACTTGAATTACAGATAGATACAAAACAGGACATGATTTGCCCCATTGCTTTCTTTAGTAGTCGTAGAGATACCTTTAAAACTGAGACACTGTAATACTGTAATTCAGAAATATCTTCACTTTTCCCTAGATTGTTTAAATGCCTTACCTTAATATGGGACCTATTTCCAGAAGCTTAATTGTATGCTCTATTGTTCTCTAGCTATGCTTTCTCTAAATCTTCCACCTAGGATTATAGAGAGTAAGAGTATCTGGTCTAAGCCTCTCAAATAAGAGAGGAGAAAACTGAAATTCAGGGACTTGCTCAAGGTTAAAGCAATGATAGTAGAGCCTAGACTAGCATGAAGACCTCAGATTTGTAGCTCAGAGCACATTTCACTATCTAGTAGTTTACTGAGAAGTTTCAAACTTGAGCTGGCCAGTTAAGGCAGGACCAAAGCTAATTACAGAGAAGTTGCCCCACAAAGTGTTTTATTTTATTTTTTATTACAATTTTATTTAGTGTTAACAAAAGAATTACAGCAATGATTATGCTTGATTGCTTAAGTGTACTAACACTTAAGTTTGAATCAAAGCAAAAGAAATAGTACTAGTACTGGTATCCAGTATACAGACAGATGAAATTAGGGAACTCTGGTGTTATAGTATGTAGGGAACTGTACTGCTAACCCAAAGGTGGTGCCTCTCCTATGGTTCCTATCCACCAGCGACTACAGAAGAAAGAAGGGAAATCCCCGTGTGATTTACAGCCTCTGAAAACCTGCTTGGAGGGTCACCTATGAATTAGTTCTGACTTGATGGCAACAAAAATAAATACAGATAAAAGGCAATCCCCCTTAATTTTATTGTTGAAATTAGAAAAATTCCACAAGGAATTTTTTAATATCCCACTTGCTGTCGTTGTTATGTGCCATCAAGTCACTTGTGACTCATAGTGACCCTATGTACACAATATCCCAGGGCAAACATAAATGCAGCAACACATTTTTAAAACATCTGCCTTTCAGCATGGACATTAGTCCCAAAGTGTAAGGGCATTTCCTAAAGCATATCTTTAGCACAATAACTGGCACAGAGTAGGACTCTAAAAATGTTCAACACATGAATGTCTTCAATTTAACCATCGCTTGTTGAACACCTATACATTTCAATTAGTCCATTCAAGGGAGGATTATGTTGTTTGAGAATCTCCAGTATAGACAGGAATAAGAAATGCTTAAATACATACACTGCATAGTGGATTGTTCAGTGCAAAAATTAGTGTCATAAGGGTGTGGAAGAGAGACATGAATTTTAGGGGAGGCATGGGAGCAAAGGGAAACACAAGACTAAGCCAGCACTATATGCTTTCACTTCTACCAATGTGGGGAATACTGAATCCAAAATTATTCCCCACACTAGGAAAATCTCCATGCCTCTATGTGTGTATTAACTCAGCCCAACTCACTCACTGCCAGCCAGTCAGTATGAGTCATGGTGACCCTCTGTTGGGTTTCTGAGGCTGTAAGCTGTAACAGGAGGAGACTGCCCATCTTTCTCCTGATAGGAGTCACTGGTGGGTTGGACCTACTGGTGGCTCAATGGGTTAGCCGCACAATTTGCTACAGAATATGCCACCAAAGCTCTCCACAAGGACACAAACGAAAACTCATCACACTCACAATTCCCAACATGTTTGTTGTTTTATTAACATTAAACGAGTAAGAACTTTTTTTTAAAAACCTTCTGCATTTTTTGTAATAAAGTATCACTTAGCAATAAAAGTCACTCATGTAAAAAAAATTAGTAATCTTATTACCTTAAATCGTATGATGTATGCAGCTATTAGCACCCCGACACTCTGTACCAAATCCCCTAAGGCATGTACAAATGCTGCTCTCACTGCCAGACTATCCTGTCCATGGCTGTGTCCATGCCCAGAACCAGCGATAGGAGAATTAGAAGATGCACAATGGGAATGAGAGTGGTGGTGACCAGACTGCTTCAACAAAAAGCCCATTCTGTTGAAAAGAAAATATTATTTTACAATGTTTTCATGAAAATACTTGTTCTCCACTAGACATTAATGAGGCCACAACAACTTATTTATTAATTTAGTAAACATCTAAGCATCAGCTAGGTATCAGGCACTGCTCTTAATATTTATAGGTAGGGTAAGCAATGTACATAAGACAGATATATCCCTACTCCCACGGAGTTTAAATTCTAGTAGAGAGAGTAAAAGAGGAAACAAATACATCATTTAATGCCAGATAATGTGAAATATTTAAAAGAAAAGCATAAAAGGGGATGGAAAGTCAAGGGAAAGTGGTCACAGAAGGCCCTCTCTTTCAGAGACTGGAATGAAGTTAGGGAACAAGCTATGGCAGAAGGATGTTCTAGGCAGAAAAAAACAGGGCAATGGCCCTAATGAGGAAAATGTACTGAGTGTGCTTGGGGATGGGGGGGAGGGGAGAAGAAAGGCAAGATGGCTACTGTGGCTAGAATACAGTCAGAGAATCAGGAGATAAGTTGTAGAGGTACATAGAGTCTTATTAAAAAGGTTACGGAAAGGACTTTTGATTTTATTCAAGGTAGAAACAGATGTTATTAGAACAAGAGATTAGCAAACCACAACATGTAGTCAAATTTGTCCCACCACCTGTCTTTATAAGTGAAATTTTATTGGAATCTAGTCAGGTCTATTTGCTTACATATTATCTGGGGCCACTTTTGTTGTCCAATAGCAGAGACTATAGTTGTAACTGAAACTGTATGGCTTTCAAAACCCAAAAGATTTATTACCTGGCCCATTATAGATAGTTTGCTGACTTCTGGCCTAAAAATAAAATATGTAACAGAAAAATATGGTGGTTTATAGAAAAAGCTTGGTAGTTTTTAGGGGAAAAGGAATCTAGTTTACTTAGTAGAATCTAATTTACTTAATTTAATAAAATTAAAGAAAGTTACACATACTGTAAAAGAAAAAAATTGCCCTGCTTAAATTTCTGATTATTTGCTAATCTTCAGAATATGTAAGCAAAAGTAGCTCTGGTGGCTAAGTAGTAAGGAACTGTACTGGCAACCCAGAGGCACATGGTTCAAATCCACCAGCCATTCTGTGGAGAAAGATGGGTAATCTCTTCCCATGCAATTTATTGCCTCTGAAAACACACTGAAGTGTCAGCTATCAGTCAGCTGCAACCTGATGGTACATAACAACATATGTAAGCAAAAAATGTGAAAAAGTTATAATGCCAAAAGTTGCCTACTTACATTAATTGTAAAACTTAATGTATCATAGCAAGGAGTTGGAAACAACCTAAATGCCCATCAACAAACGAATGGGTAGAGAAGCTGTGGTAGATCCGCACAATGGAATACTATGCTGCATTGAAAAACAAGGAACTCATGCAATATTATTCAAAATGGGTGACCCTGGAGGACATTATGCTGAGTGAGGTATCTCAGTCACAAAAGGACAAATACTATATGGTGCCACTGTTGTAGAATGAGGCTGGCATCGGGGCAGAGGTAAGGCTGAGAAAACTGGATGAAATATGTTTACGGCACTGAAGTCTATGGTGGAGAGAATAGTTTAAAAGTATTATATTTTAGGGCATTATTTTTATCGTAGGAGTACGCAATGAGGGTTGCAGAGTGGATTATATTTGGGGTTGGGGGGATATGTGTGGGGGATTGCGTACCAGGAGAGAGGGGAGGGGTGAGGTGGGGTGGGCAGGGAGAAGGGTGCAACAATGAATGAATGCAATTCCAAAATCTCTGTAGATGTTCATTGAAATGAAAAATAAATAAATTAAAATATTAAAAAAAAACCCCAAACAACCAATAGCTGATTAAAAAAAAACCCTTAATGTATCATATAATTAAAAAATATAGAAGTATCACTGGAAATGACTGAATGTATGGATAACAGTACCTGAAAATATTTAATATAAAAACCCCCAACAACGAAAAAGAGCTTACATTATATTAACTGCAACTCCAACAGCTGCAGTAATGAGCATTATATCTCCATTTATTTCATAGTCCATATGGATAGTTCTTTGCACAGCTTCATATAAGAGGAATCCCATAAGTATATATACCAGTAGCACACTAATCATGGCTGACAACACCTCTGGAGAGAAAAAGACATAAAAGAAATACATTTGTAACATGGTTATTATACTTTATGCAAATCATTGTAAAATTTTTTTTTGCAATTAAAATAAGTTACTTTATTGAGGGAAGCAAGTTATTTGGTGCCAGTTGGTTCAAGACAAAGGGAAGAAAGTCTGTCTTGGTCAGGTGTCTTAGCAGGAGAGACGCCTACTGCTAAAGGCTCCACTAACAAATGCCCAGAATTCTGAAGTCCCCCATTTCTTCTAGGACAGAAGTGGATGAGACTTCAGCAGTCAGAGGATCATGAAGACCAAGGAAGACGGAATCTTTCAACCACCCATCAAGAGTCTCTGGGTCTTCTCTAAGCCAGGGCCATCCAATGGAAACAGAATTCATCTTCCCGACTCATCTGGAGGACTCAAGATTCTCCTTCTCATCGCATTGCCATACTCCCTGCTCTTGGTCCTCTTTTCTGCATAATTTTGGTGGCATTCTTTCAGCAAGTTAATCAAGATGTTGCATTCTTCAGTGTGCAAGTGTGGAGACTAGCCTGGATGCATCCTTAGGAGAACGTGATGGAGAACAGCATAACAACCGGAGCGGCACCCATGCGGGGAAGGACTTCGGACGCCCACACAGCAGCTGGTGGTGCGAGCGGCCCCTTAACCAGTGGCCACTGACCGGACGCCCGTCTACATTTTTTAGTTATAATTTTTTTCTTTGAGAAGTTAAAGCACCATACCATCTTGGTGATATTATTTTTCTTATTCAAAGAATGCCAGTAGTGTGCCTAATCCAAATCCTCCTATAACTGCTCCCCTCCATTCTCTACCCATCTCTGATATCTATTTAAGGTCAAAATATATATATTTGCCATTCAGAAGGTAAAATATGACAAACTGAGAAAAAATATTAGGACAAAGACTTTATGATGAAAATGTGAGAAAACATCCATAACTGTGATTTCCTTAATGAAAGAAATAAAAACAATATTTATTTTCCTACCAAACTGACAAAGAAAAGTTTGACAGTATCTAGGGTTAAAACCTACGCCTGCCACTGAGCTGAGTTCAGCTCATAGTGACTCTCCCTCCATAAACTATCTGCAGCTGGAAATCATAGTTTCCAAAGACTGCTCATCTTTCTCCTGTGATGTGCCTGGTAGATCCAAACTGCTGACCTTTTAGGTTATTGTCGCTGCTGTTATGTGCCATCAAGTCACCTGTGACTCACAGTGACCCTATGTACAATAACCCTAAACCCTGCTCTATCCTGTGCCAATTTTAGTGTCTCTGACACACCTACTCTCATTACCCCAGTCACTGAATCAATCCATCTCATTGAGGGTCTTCCTCTCCTGCGCTGTCCCTTCACCCTCCCAAGCATGATGTCCCTCTCCAAGGACTGGTCCCTCCTTGCAACATGTCCAAAATATGTCAGATGAAGTGTCAGAATCATTGCCTCCAAGGAGGTTTAACCCTCTCCAAAACAAACCTGTTCATTCTCTTAGCAGTCCACAGCTCAAAGGCATCGACTCTCCTTCTATCATTCCTAGTCATTGTCCAGCTCTCTGATGCATAGCAAGTGTTTGCAAAGACCATGGCCTATATCAGGCACACCTTAATCTCCAGACTAACATCACTGTTCTTCAGTACTTTGGAGAGGTCTTTGACAGCAGACTTTCCCAATGCAGTATGTCTTTTAATTTCCTGGCTGCTGGTGTCAAGAGTGTTGATTGTGGAGCCAAGCAAACAAAAGCTGTTTACAATCTCAATCTCTTCACCATCTACCATGGTGCTGCCAATTGGCCCAGTGGAGAGAATTTTTGTTTTCTTGATATTGAACTTCAATCCATATTGAAGGCTGCAGTCCTTGACGTTTTGTAGCAAGTGCTTCAGGTTCTCCTCAATTTCAGAAAGTAGAGTTGTGTTATCTGCATAACAGACTGTTGATGAGTCTTCCTCCAATCCTGATGTCACATTTCTGTTCACAGAGCCCAGCCTCCTTGATAATCTGTTCTGCATATAGATTGAAAAGGTATGGAGATAGGACACATCCCTGGTGTACACCCTTCCAAATTTTAAACCATGCAGTATTCCCTTGCTCAGTTCTGATGACTGCCTCCTAGTCCAAGTATAGGTTTCGCATTAACAAGATCAAGCATTCTGGTATTCCCAATCTTCTCAGAGTTAGCCATAGTATGCTGTGCTTTTGCATAATCAATGAAACAGACAGACTTTTCCTCTGGTACTCCCTGCTTTCAGCCAAGATCTGTAGAACATTAGCTACGACCCCTTCTAAACCTAGTCTGCACTTCTGGCAGTTCTCTGTTGATGTGCTGTTCCAGCCATTTTTTTTTACAATCTTCAGCAGAAATTTTGTTTGCTTGTGATATTAATGATACTGTTTGATAATTTCCACATTCTGTTGGATCATCATTCTTTGGAATGGAGATCCCAAAATATTATACACAGGTCAGGATATAGTCTGGTGGAAGTGACAAGCATTTTACTAAAAGTAATAAAAATTTAAAATGCATATATTCTGTAATTCAGCAATTCAACTTCTAGGAATCTCTCTGATATTAAATACTTCCATACATATGCAGATACATAAACACTCTTCACTGTAATGTAGTCTATAGTAACAAAACAGTATCTGTTGTTGTTAGATGCCATCAAGTCAAGTGTGACTTACAGCAACCCTATGAAGAACAGATCTGAACACTGTCTTATAAGCCATCTTCCTCATCTCTGACACACCTGAATCCATTGTGTACTCAATGTATTAAGCTATCTTACTGAAGGTCTTCCCCTCTTTCACTGACTCTCTGCCTTACCTAACAACATGTCCAAAGTATGTGGGATGAAGCTTTGTCATCTTTGTCTACAAGGAGCACTCTCGCTGTACTTTCTCCAAGACATATTTGTTTGTTCATTTGGCAGCCCATGGGATATTCAGTACTCATCTCCAACACCACAACTCAAAGGCATTAATTCTTCTGTTATCCTTATTCATTGTTCAGCTTTCAAATGTACAGAAAGTGATTGAAAAAGATGATGACCTGAATAGGTGCAATTTAGTTTTTAAACTTACATCCTTGCTCCTCAGTAATTTAGAGAAGGCCCTGACAGCAGACATGCCCAATGCAATATGTCTTCTGATCTCCTGACTGGTGGTATCAAGGGTGCTGATTGTGGATTTAAGTAAGATGAAAACATTGAGGATTTCAATCTTTTCTCCAACTATCATGATGTCTATCAGCCCAGTGGTGGGGAATTCTGTCTTCGTGATGTGATACAATCCATATTGAAGGCTGTAGTCTTTGATCATCTGTACCAAGTGTCTCATGCCCTCCTTACTTTCAGCAAGCAAGGTTGTGGCATCTGCATAATGCAGGTTGTTGATGAGACTTCCTCCAATCCTGATCCCACATTCTTCTTCAGAGAGTCCAGCTTCTCAAATGATTTACTTAGCATACAGATTAAAAAGATAAAAAGAGAAAGGATCGAATCCTGACACACATCTCTCCTGATTTTAAACCATGCAGTGTTTCCCTTGCTCTGTTTTGACATTGACAGAGATACTATTTAGTGGTAAGGAGATGTACTGCTAACCTAAAGGCACATAGTTCAAATCCACCAGCTGCTCTGTGGGAGAAATATGAGCAATCTCCTCTGACGTGCTTTACTGTCTTTAAAAAGCCACTGGAGGGTCAATTATAAGTTGGTTCCAAAAAAAAAAAAAGTTGGTTCTGACTTGCCAGTATGTAACAACAACTCCAACAAAAAATAAAAAAAAGATAAGAAAAACAAATATCATATAATAAGAGGGATAAAAGAAGTTCTATATCTAGGAAGTAGAAATTACTTTTCCATTTTTTCTTTTGGTATTGCTTGAAATGTTTTAAACTTTCAACACAAACAAGTATTATTTTTAGTTAAAGAAAAACAAAAACATTTTCCAAGCAAGCAAGTATTCATAAGGTTGACCTGGGAGGTCCTCTTGTAGGAATGATGTATACATTCACAACAACTGAATTACACATTTGTGCAAAAGGAGATATATTATGAAGCTATGCATCAACCATCATATATAATAGTAACCTACTTTGTTGTTTTAGGTGCTGCCAAATCAACCACGACTCATAGTGGCCTATGAACGACATATAGATCTTAACCTTGCTCTATCCTGCACTATCCTCACAATCTTTGTCATGCTGGAGCCCAGTGGTTACACTCACTGTGTCAATTGGTTTAGTTAGGTGAGGGATGTTCTTTCTTTTTCTGATCTATCTTTCCCAGCAAGATGCCTTCTTCCAAGGACTAGTGCCTCCTGACAACATGCCTCAAGTATGTGAAATGAAGTTTCACCATCCTTGCCTCCAAGGAATATCCTAATTACCCATCCTCCAAGATAAAGTTGCTTGCTCTTTTGGTAATCTGTAGGATATTTAGTGTTCTTCACCAACACCACAATTCAAAAGCATCTGTTTGTCTGTCATCCTTATTCACTGTCCAACTTTCAGGTACACAGAAAGCAGCTGAAAAATAACATAGTTTGGATCAGGTGCACCTTAGTCTTTAAACTGATATCTTTGCTCTTTAGTACTTTGGAAAGGTCCTTGACAGCAGATTTTCCCATGTAACATGTCTTGATGTTACCTATTGCTAAACAGGAATTTGTTTTCTTGATGTTGAGATGTAATCCATATTGAAGGACATAGCTAATCTTCTGTTAACCAGAGCTCCTTACAAAGTATTTAAAAGCAAATCAGTCTGGAAAATTGTACATGGAAGGACTCACTGCTACAAGGTTCCAGGAAGGACTCATTGCTACAAGGTTCCAAGAAGGACACATTACTGTAAGGTTCTAGGAAGTCCAGGTATTTTGAACTTTAAGAGCTTGTTTTCCAATGAATAAATTACAATGCAGAAAAATTGCCTAGCAGTTATAGGCTACTTTTTGTAGACATCCAATTAATGTAGCCAAAATGCCAATAAAATCACGAGAATCATTATGTTGACAGATGTTGGAATAAGACAGAAAACATATAATTCCTTTTC